TAATATCTTTTCAGCTGTTTAATTCTATATCAAACAACCCAGTCACTGATATTATTGAACAACTCATCTAGTGTCATTTTTAATTTCAAAAATTCTATGTTTAGTATCCCCCTTTGTCATCCAGGCAAGATCACACATTTTGGGCTCAGAATGGCCAGGGTAAGTCCAGGCTTTAACACTGAACAAGTATCTGCCTTATATAAATAACTGCTTCTATTAACTTTCTATTCCACATATGTAAAATGGAGTTAAGGCTAGAGGTCCTCTATTTTAAAAAGGGATTAAGAAGTACAAATTGGTAGTTACAAAATAGTCACAGGGATGTAAACTGCAGCATAGAGAACATCATCAATAATATAATAACTATATATGGTACCAGGTGAATTCACCTCGTATATTATATAAATGTCTAACTACTATGCTGTACACCTACTAATATAATATGAATGTCAACTGAAATTGAAAAATAAAAATTAAAAAAAATGAATTAATAAAAGAAACCTCTTAATACCATATTCAACTTAATTTGGTAGAGCTTTATATTATTTTAAATTTACATTATCTTAACTGAATGGAAAATGCATACATTTTTCCATACCAATGATTACCATGTTACTTTTCAGCATCTCAAATTGTAAGATTAAGTCTTCTTCACGTTAAGAATCTAAAGAATCTTAGTTGTTTTTGGCCTTTGGTAGTTAGGCCTAATTTCATAATAACAGGCTACTTCTCAGCTCCTTCTCATAACCTTTTTTGCAATTTTGAGATTGAGAGTGACATTTCAAGGCATATTAATTTATTTTAAAATTTTAATTATCAAACATTAGAAGTTTATCATCCTTTCTTAAAAGTCAATTGAAAGTTTTTGGCAGATGGACATTTAGCACCTCAGTAATTATCCTTCAATTTTCAAGAATTAATTACTGTGAAAGTTGTATGACATCTTTGGAGGGACTTGGTAATGTCTACTCATTTTAAGTGTATTGCTGCTGTATGATTGGCCATGATTTGATAGTTATTTCAATGATAGAACAATATACAGCTTCAAGTACTTATGAATACCTTGTTGTTTTACAATAAAATATGGAAGTATAATCTTTCTCCCTGAAAGAGATACATTCTTCACTTAGCATAAATCTTTGTTTCCCAGGCATATTTTCATTTTTTTCTTACATACAGAATAACTTCTCGTCAATGAGGCATTATACTATAGCCTTTTGAAGACATTTTAAGTGAATATTAGGCATCTAAATCTAATTTCATTAAGTCTAAAATTCAACTGCGTGTAGCTCTAGGAACACAAGTAACAAATCCAAAGTTTTTACCATGGCCCACGTGGCCATCCTTTATCTGTCTTTATTTCCAAATAGGCTGCACCTCACTTCACCCCAGGCCATTGCCAGGTTTGGTATTCCTCAAATGTAACAAGCCTGTGGCTATGCCAATGTCTTTGTGTTGCTTTCTCCATAGCCTAGAATGCTGGCTCACTCTTACTTCCTTTAGTTCCTGCTCACATGCTACCCTATCAAAGAAGCCTCTTTTGATGCCCTCTCCCCACCCCCCCATACTCCCAAACATCATAGCCTAGCTTCTTAATTTGCTTCAATTTAACTTTATATCCTTTAGCCGCATCTGACACATGTATATATTTGTTTGAGTGCTTATTTTCTCTCTTCCAATTAGAACAGGAGAACTTTCCTGTTTTATTCACCTCTTTTTTCTCCAGAACTAAGTCTTTGGCAAATATTAAGTGTTCAATAAATATTAGTTGAATGAATTAATTAATGTTGAAGTAATCAGGTGAACTGATGTTTTCTGTGTAGAGTTAAGATCATATAGTCTATAATATCTGCGGGAGACTGCCACAGCCCTTTAAGTCTCTGTTGAAAGAGTCATTATGATTTTCAAAATGTTAAAATGTGAATAAAAAAATTCATTGTAAGGATTAAATAAAATAATGCATGAAAAGTGTTTGGCAAAATGCCAAATGTTAAATGTTCAATAAATGTACCTTTGTCTGAATTCATCCTTTTCCCTTTCTGTTCTGTTACAATGAAAATGTTGACTTTTGTCTAGTTTAAGACAAATCCTACCATCTGTACCTTAGATTTCAATCCATCCTCACCTTCTCAAGGGCAGCACACCATCTATTATTCTTTCATCTTCTCATATCCTTTACTTCTTCTATCTTTGCCTAACCTGATCCACCCAGAAGGGGGCCCTTTTGATAATTTACACAAAGTCACCACATTGCATTGAGGAGTCACTTCATAAGAGGTGGTTCATTATCAGATGTTTGCATACTTGCCCACCTATCCTTTTAACAGATTCTTAGAGTTACTTGCCATTTTCTGAATGTCCAATACCCTTAAGTCTTTGTCTGTCGCAATATTTTCCCAGAATACTTTTACCCTTTGATACTCCCCAAGACACATACACATACACAGTCAAATGTCCATCTGTCAAAAACTTTCAACTGATTTTTAAGAAAGGATGATAAACTTCTAATGTTTGAATGTTAAAATTCTTAAATAAATTACTGTGCCTTGAAATGTCACTCTCAATCTCAAAGTTACAAAAGAGATTATGAGAAGCAGCTGAGAAATAGCCTGTTATTATGAAATTATGCCTAGCTACCAAAGGCCAAAAATAATTAAGATTCTTTAGATTCTTAACGTGAAGAAGACTTACTCTTACAATTTGAGATGCTGAATAATAACATGGTAGTCACTGGTATGGAAAAATGTATGCATTTTCCATTCAGTTAAGAAAATGTAAATTTAAAATAATATTTCTCATTTTATAAATTTCCTATTAAATTGAGTTGAATATGGTAACTAATCCAAAATGAGATTAGTTAATTTTAACTTGTACTTGAGGCCTTGTCTTCTTAAATGCCATTCTCTCTTTGTGAATCCTCACTGAGCCTCAAGGATTGAATACCCTTCCTCTCTCTTCTTCTCTCTCTCTCTCTCTCTAAATTATAGTTGCTTATCTTTGTTTATTTCTCCTACAATATACTAAGCTCCTTGAAGACAAGTATTTTTTCATGTTCATAAATGAAATACCAAAGTTTGCATGGAAATTGACATATAGTATATAAGCAATTTTTCAAAACTTGAATTGTTGAGTAGAGTCATTAGAAAGTTACAAAATTGGTTTCTGGTACTGTTGAAACCTCTAGAGCCAACCAACTAGTTGCTGCTGAATTTATATCAGTGTTCTAGTAAATGACGAAAATGTTCAACTGCAGCATTTCTTAGTTCAACATTTTTTTTTAAAGATTTTATTGGGGAATTGCAGGAGGGAACAGTGTTGGGGAATTGGGGGAAGGGGAACAGACAAGTTGCTGTCCTTTTGTTCTTCAGTCTAGTTGTGGAGGACGTCACTTCACAGGCCCATGTTGGTATTTTCATTGCGCTCTTCCCAGGTGAGGCAGTCGCTTGCCAGCCATTGGATGGCCGCTCACGGAGGCTCATGGTAGCCCAGCTCCAGGCTGAGCTGTTGTTCAACATCTTAGCTGTGGAGGGCAGTGTCACTGGCCCGCATATGTGGGATCCGAACCAGGGCCCTCTGGCGTCCCAAACCAGCTCTTAACCATCGTGCCACTCGGCCAGCCCTCTCTTAGCTTTTAATTGACATAATTACTGCTAGAATGCTCCATCATTATTGACAGGAATGTTCTCCCTTGTTAATTGCCCAGAAGCACATTGAGAGATTGATTGGGTCACTAGGGCTGGTTTGAAATGCATTGGCAGAAAAGAGTGGTGATGGTGTATAATAATCTCTCTCTCACGCTAATGGGATGAACTAAATGCTTATTTACATTTGTTCAGAAAAAAATACACTGATTGTTTACCAAAATTTTTTACTTTCTATCCAGATGTGTGAAGGCGAATAGTAAAAGCTTTAAAGGGTGCCCCTTATGAACCCAGGGGTTTATAAAAAACCCTCTCAGAGTGTGCCCATAAAATTCCAACATCTATGGCTTTTCAGTGGGGAGAAATGGATAATTGATTTGACATATAAGCATGGAAAACCAGTGGGTCAATTGAATATTTCCATTTTTTTGGATTGTTTAAATGTGAGTAAGCAACCCCTAGATTAATGAAGAGTTTTTAGGTGGAACACTGGGAGTGCTCAATTTTTAACAGTATAAGATTTTTTTAAAACATGGAAGCTTAAGCGTTTATTGTATATAAGTACCTCATTAAATAACCACAATACTCTGAGAAGTAGGTAATATTAATACAACTTTGCATATAAGAAACATGGAGGGTACTTAATTTAGCTAAGGCCGAAAGTACAGGAAATGATGAATTGGAAACCAAGCTGTGTTACTTCAAAGGTCACATAATAAATGACAACTATCAATAATATTTTTGGAAATATAAGAGAAATGGAAAACTTTTTTTTT